TTCAAAAACGCCCTATCTCACTTCAAAATGTATTGAAAATATGCTGATAGAGGGCGTTCTTGAAAAGTTTTTTGAAATAGAGCGTTTTCGAAATGGCTGCCGAGATCGGTCGATCTTCCACTCAGCCATCGATATTTGAATTTTTCAATAAAAAACGTTTTGCTCCATTTTAGTCTGTGACACCCAGTATACATATGCAGTGTTAAGTATGGTTAGGATAGATTTTAACTGTTTTTTAGGCCCGACCCATTCTAGTGCACATAATTAAGGGCCTTTTTAAAAAATATTTCGTAATCGGAAAGAACATTTTTAACAATTTTCAATATTTTGGTTATTTTTTTTTTTTATTCCAGCTAATTGACATGTCCACCCACACAATGCCGCCTCTAAATCTCCTAGCTGCCGATTTTGTGAAATGTTTCTTGAAAACCGCTGATTTAGTAGCGAAAGAAGATAAAACCACCGATGAAGCGGAGACGTTGAACAACACAGCAAAGACAAAGTACAAGAGGAGAAAAATGCTGAACGGCGGTGCTGGTGCTGCTTTTATGAATGGTCATGGCGGCAGTGACTCAGATGACGAGAGCGATGATGATGATGAGGAGGGCGAAGCGAAAAATGCAAATGCGAGCTATGCCAATCACTCCACCTCAGCCATTGATGAAGATGTGGAAATGGTGGACGAGGCCACAGCGTTAAAGAGGCGCAAGAGTTTGCTAGTTAAAGGTGAGCAAATGAGTGCGGCGGCGACAGTACCGCAACGGAGCGACAACGAAGCACAGCTGAAACGAATTGCAGCGTCGAGCTTGGAAGTAGAATTTTAGAATCAAAATTGATTTAACTGAAATGAGTTTTGCATAAATTAAACTACTACAATCTGATGCAAACGGAGTGCGATTGTTCGCAAAATATTGAATAAGTCAAAAGTGTACGTTTTTTTTTCTTTGATGAATTGCATACGCATGCAGTTTTCACATTACGTTTACTCTCATGTACAGCTAAATTTTGCTTCAATAGAAATAACGTTTGCTAATTTACATCTGGACTATACTTAAAGTTAATGACTGCAATGAAATAGTTTTAATAAATCTGATGTAATTTCTTTTCGATTTTTAATTTACATAAATTCAAATGCACCCTTAAGCTAGACATATAAATGAGTACCGTAGCATTACAGTTAATGAAATATTATTTACAAAAAAAAATGTCCTTTTAAAAATGTAAGGTGCACTTTTACAACAGCACTAGTTTTTAAAAACTATAGCCGCTAATGCAATCAAATGTACACACATACATACATACATACATAATTACGATCTAGTGTATGTATATGTAGTGCGTCGCCGATACAATAACCACAAATGTGTATAGCAAATAAAAAGTGCTATTTTGAAATGAATTCAATAGGTTTATGTGATTTTGTTTTAAACTACATCTGAGGCCTTGAGCGCCAGAGTGGCCTAGCTGACATTTAAAAAAAAAAAAAGTTGAGGTGCACCTTAAAATGCATTACTAGAATCGAAGCGGTAATAGCCCAAGCCACGTACTTTTAGTTTTCTTTTGCTATAATCACGTAGGTGCAATGAACTTTTTAGTAAAAGACCGCATTTATTTTTTATAGATCCTTCTTTCTCACATTATTAAAAAAAAAAATGTTTGTAGATAGGCTCCTCGGGCCCTTTAAAAACATCTATGTATTTCTTCTGCAAATCAAATTAATTTTCCTCTTCGACTAATGAATCCAGCATGCGCGAGCACATTGTAGATCTCAGCGCGTGGTATTTTCTCCGCCTGCCGTTCGTAGACCTGCAATCAAAATAAGCAAGCAATTTGCCATGTTACCGAATGTTACCGAATGCTTCAAACTTAATTAAAAATTGTAAGCAGCTATTTATAATTACCGGTTCCTCGCCTGGTCCGAACCAACTTGACTTGGCTAGCACTTCACGTACGCGTGGCGTCTTGTAGAAAGGATTTCTCAGCGCATTGGGCAAGGACTCTTCGTATGCGTCATTTTCGATAACAGCAATATGTGCATACCGCTGCGGACGTGCCAAGACATTCGAAGCAGCAACGAGTAGTAGCAGAATGACAAAACAGACATTGTAGATGCCTCTCGTAAACCTGAAATAAAAAAAGGATGGATGAGTTGAAATTAGTTCTCGGATACTCTGCACAATGTACATGAATATGTACATATGTAATATGTAGTAGGTAAATCTACGTTGTAAGCATACAAAATGTCACTCTTTGTCTACCACTTTAGGGACTAAAATACGAAACGAAAAGCGATCCTCAAGAAAAACCGACAGAAGCAGCCCACCTCCCTTTCAACAACAGAAAAGGTTCACAGGCATACAGCAGCGCCCAGCAACTAATTTGTAAGGAAGAAACTGCGTGAAAAAATTGCCAAAAATCAACGCGATTTTTTAGCAACTTCAAAATTGCATTTGTTATACTAAAATTGAGTGGGCATACATGGAATTTTTATAAAAAAAATCTGGTTGGAAAGTTGCAAATAAGTATGCAAATTTATTGAATTTTCCTGAGCTTTGCACAAAGTTTAGAGATTTATTTTTGAGTGGTTTTGTACATAGTATGAACTATATTTTTATAAAAAAGTTTGTATATCAAGAAAAGTCGACCCCCTGAAGATGAGCAACAAATATTTTTTTTTGTGGAAAGCTTATCGTTCAAAAATTTAAGCTTGACAGGGCACCTCTAATTTGTAAAAATTGTTAAAACCACAAATAAACACTTAAAGACTACGAAGTTTAATTCAGCCTTATTTCCATATGGGTTCAGTGGAATATAAACAAAAAATATTGGTTTTGATTTTAAAAATTTATTCTGGTTATCACATTTATATACTCTGAGTTTATGAACTAGGAGTTTTTACCGGTGGAATAGTCATAACTAGGGAAGACAAAAATATGCACAAAAAAACTTAATAATATGGTTATTAAAATTACTCCAAAATATTAAAAATATGCCCCAAAAAATGCATACGTATAACTGATTTTTTTTTGATCATCGCCTAAAAAATGTTGTACATACATGCAGTATTCCCCGCTTAATTGTCCCCGGTTAATTGATTTCCCCGCTTTTTTGAATTACCGTATCGGTAAAAAAATATTTTCACAAAAAGAAGTTATCAATTCGTCGGATTTTTTTTTTATTTATGTTACGGCATAACTTTGGAACACGTTAACCGATTTCTATAATTCTTTTTTTAAAGGAAATGTACCATATTAATTTGGTTTAAATCCGAATATTGGATCATGAAGAAATTAACGATAATCTTAAATTTTTATATGAGAATTGATGTCGGTTTTGTTTTTTGCTTAAAAAATACTTGTATTTATAGAAATTATTCTAAAAATATGTGGACAAGTATACATACTTACATACGTATAAAATATAATTTTTTTTTGTATTACTTTATTTTTTCATTTAAAGTTTAAACTACATATATAAATGTCATTAAATTTGAAATGCTTACATGCATTATCTTTTAATTGATTAGGTTGTCCAATTTAGCGGAATTTCTGTTTAATTAAACGAGTATCGGTTAATTGATTCTCCGGTTAATTGAACCAAAAATTGTTCAATTGTTGAAGGGCAAATTTATAGAAAATAACGGGACTTTCAATTGTTTGTCAGCCTTTTCTTTTTGTCAATTAATGAGTCGATTACGGATTGCAGTTGGGTGGCCAGTGGCTGAAATGGCATTACAGATGGCAACTGGCAACTGAAAGCTGGCAAAAGAGTTGCTATATTGGCAACTGCATTTTTGTGGTTGCCGCAGAAGCTTTGATTGAGATAATTTATTTCTTTTTTTGCAACTGGTTCTTCAGCTTATTTACACTCAAGTCTTAGTTGCTGGTTCTTCAAAATTTTATTACCTTCAACTTTATAGAACTTAACTATAGTTGCTATTCATAGTGTACATTTTAATTTCAGTGGCGTGCGGCTGCCTTGCCATCCATAATCGACCCATAAACAAATCTCATCAGCAACCCTGGCTATCTCCGCAAATGAAATTATGCGAAAATTAAATCACTTATTACCAAAATAATAATTTTTATGCGGTTTTATGCTTTTTCGCCAAAGTAAATATATATTTTGTGTCATAGTATGCATTAGCGAAATACGTGATTAAGTGGAAACACTTTTCTTTTTTAGCTGAATAACGGTAAATTCCAAATATCTCGAAACTTCATACTAGAATAAAAATTTACTCGATTTTCAGAATCAGAAACGATTTGCAGGTTTTTACAGGAAGTCATTCCAGGTGACCACCTTCCATAAGGTTTGTTAATGGAGAAACCAGCTGTTCCGGCAAATCGTGAATATCGTTAAGCATCTGGAACGCAACTAATGCAAACTGATGTTTAAGAAAATGGCCTATTTTTTATTGTTGAAAATATATGTGGCATAAGTTTTAGTTTGATGAGATGAATGTTAGAAAAGATGTAATAGTTGTAATAACTATTCGTGAGAACCTATTCACACGATTCAAATAGTAATTTAATTTGATTTGATACGGATCAATGTAGTGGTTATTTTGTTCCAAAAGTTTTGTATTATTGCCGAAAAAGAATAAAAAGACGATAAGCAAACTTAAAAAGCATCAATAACAATTGACTTATGTAAGTGCATTTATTATGTCTAAGTGCATTGAATACACAATAAACAAAAACTAACTTGACCCGAAACAATTAAAATACAACCAAGACTGCAACCCCAAACAACAACAAAGAGCCTTGTGGCTGGCACCTCCGACACTCAACTAAATAATAAACGGAACTAAAAGAATTATGAAACACATTTTATAATTTTCAAAATATATATTTTTAAACGGTCATTAAGCATCGACTAAGCAGACAACAGCAACAAAATAATCATAACAATTTACTGTTTAATCATCACAAAGTGCAAAGCTGCATACATACATGCATACATATGTATGTACATACATATCAGCAATAAGTCCCCTTTCAGACACGTCAAGTCTTGCTTTCAAGTCTGCTCGTTCGTTGGCGAAGGAGGTGGGAAGAGAGGGGAAGAACACAGATACCTCCGTACCGTCAATTCGTTTCAAGTTTTCTTGTTCTCTTTTGATCTTTTCGTTGCTTCCCATTTAAAGATCCAAGGACTTGAATTCAATAAAACTTGACGCGTGTGGAAGCAAAGAGAAAACACAAAAGAGAATGCGATAAAAATTGCTTTCAAGACTTGACGTGTCTGAAATGGGACTAATAGCAGCTGGTCAATTCAGATATGGCAACCATCATAGCGGTGAAATAAACACGGCACAGCCAAATGAAAATGAATTCGTAACATTTCCAACTTACCTGGTATACAACAATTACCTGCAACAGCAACAAAAATGCCAGCACCTTATGCGCTTAAGTGCTTTGTGGCATAGTTTTCCAGCGGCCTGGTGGCATCTTAACCCATAGAGGGTGATAGGGAGCCAATTAATGGTGTTTACCGTTGTGGTGTTAATAACAATTTGCAATAGTCGAGGGACACATTGGGATGGTACTTCATATTTGCACATCAGATGGTTAACGATTTTAAGAGTTTACATCTACATCAATGAGGCAGTGGTTGATGGGCAGCAAGGCGAATTAATATAAGGTGATAGCAGTTGTACAAAAACAAAAATTA